GCGTTTAAATAGGTCTTATTATTTTTTGCTGAACTTGAATGATCAAATCAAGATTCTGTGACTAACACTGGTGACCCATGAGAAATGGAAATATGCTTTGAGATTCAACTCTTCGAAACACAAGTCTGATAAATGACACTTAAGAAAAGGGTGAGCCTGTGCTCTGATGAGTACAATCAGATAATCACTTCAGTTCTGAAGGAATAACAATTGTTCCGTTACTAAAGGAAATTATAATCTTGACTGGGTATGGGAAACAGAAATATTTTTGACCTCAAACTTTATATTCTTCACTGACCTTCGTTCTGAATGACTGATCTACCATGACTGCCTATGCTCATAGAGACACAGAGATCCTTTCCTGGGCAGAGATTTTCTCGCAACATTGAGACTTCAAAAATTGTTCCGAAAACAATGTAATCCATAAAAGTTAAGTTCTCTTTCTATGAAAAGAGACAGAGCATTAGAAATGCCAAAATTGTACCTTAAAATGAAAGGAATATCAGTTCTTAGTCTTATATAAATACTAATCAATTTGGCGCTGATAAAACCGTTATTCGGCAAACAATTCACCAGGCAGTGCAATATGGGTTCTAAAAGGACGGACGAGACCTTTCCTTATGAGGTTTCGTTTTGGGAAGTGTTCGAAAAATGTTGAAAACATGAACAATATAATAGGCAATCATAAGCATATAGTCAATTTAAAATTATGGGGCAGATCTTTCACCTGTCTCCTTCAGTGTAACCAGTGCAACTCCTTCCAAAAATTAAAAAGTTGAAATAAGTTTTAAATTTTAAATACCCAATAAAATCGATCATTATTTTTTCTTCCTTGTTTTGTTCATAAAATATTGGAGCGTATTTCTTGGGAAAGAGCATTTCACCATAAAAATCACTGTGATTTTCAGTGGTCAGAAATATTTTCTAATGTTGAATGTTGGGGATAAAGGAATTCAACTTCGACTGACAACAATAAAAACACACTAAAATATAAAAACAAATGGGTATACAAGGCTATGGAGGATAGCCTTGTATACCCATCCATAGGGAGGATCCTCCCATAGAGAGGATCCTCCATAGCCTTGTATACCCATTTGTTTTTATATTTTAGTGTGTTTTTATTGTTGTCTGCATTCGGGCTATTGCGTCTCTCGCTCTCTTCGACTGGCATCATGAAAACATCATGAAAAGAGACAGGAGAAGGTCATTGTGACATATTATTGTTTGTTATATTTGCTGTTGCACTCAGATTTTAAAAGTCAAAAGAATCTCATATAACAAAATTTTTGAGATCCCAAAAATTTATGATAAGTTTTAGATTATACAAAAGGTGACAGATAAAACTTTGTTGTGGATTGGACAATTTAAAAGAGAGAAAAATTCACCTCATCAAAACCAGAGAGTTGGTGTTTTTGAAAACAAACCAGCATACGTCTGGGGAGTAACGAACTATCCATTTTTTCACTTGCGATTGCCAGCAAGACAGATCCTTGATAAAACCTACTGTCATCATAGAAATGAATGTACGCTGGACCAAAAGAAGGCAGGTATCCTGAATTTTAACACCAAAAAATCAAGATCAATTTTCAGAAACACAATAAAGGAGGAAACAGTAATATCAAGCTTAAAAAACAGTGTGGTATTAAAAAAAAGTGGGGGCAGAATAATCTAAAAATCCACAAAAAGGCGGAACTATCATGAAATAATGGCATGAAAGGTAGATCATCGATAAGGATTTGCGTTTCTTTAAGAAAAATTATTCCAGCTGATTGAAAATTGAAGAATTGAAATTGGGCATCTACAGGGTTATTCAAAAGTTACGCACCACTGGCCATAACTTTAGTTCTAATTATGATATCGATTTGCGGTTTGTGGCGTCCATCCTCATATCGAGGGGGAAACTTTTTGAGGTACTTTTCAGTTCTTCACCCTCCCAGGGGGAGGGGGGGCGGGGGGAAACTCAAAAATTTCAA